TTCCTATAACTATGAGATTATGCAACTCCCGTTTGCCGGAGGAACACCTTGGGTGCTACCAAACGTCACAACGTAACTGGGTGATTATAAAGGAGCATTACAGGTGTCTCCAAAAGTAGATGTTGGGTTGGCGTATTTCGAGATTAGGATTTGTCACTCCGATTGTCGGAGAGGTATCTCTGGGCCCTCTCGGTAATGCACATCACATAAGCCTTGCAAGCACTGCAACTAATATGTTAGTTGTGAGATGATGTATTACGGAACGAGTAAAGAGACTTGCCAGTAACGAGATTGAACTAGGTATTGGATACCGACGATCGAATCTCGGGCAAGTAACATACCGATGACAAAGGGAACAACGTATGTTGTTATGCGGTCTGACCGATAAAGATCTTCGTAGAATATGTAGGAGCCAATATGGGCATCCAGGTCCCGCTATTGGTTATTGACCGGAGACGTGTCTCGGTCATGTCTACATTGTTCTCGAACCCGTAGGGTCCGCACGCTTAAGGTTACGATGACAGTTATATTATGAGTTTACATGTTTTGATGTACCGAAGGAGTTCGGAGTCCCGGATGAGATTGGGGACATGACGAGGAGTCTCGAAATGGTCGAGACGTAAAGATTCATATATTGGATGATATGGTTAGGCCAAGGGGTCAAGTCCATGAGGCTTTAGATCAGTGCAAAAGGAGTTTTGCGGAGTCCAGGGGGCCAAACGCCGGAGACCCTGGCGTCTGGCCCTGGGCCAGACGCCGAGGCCCATGGCGTCTGGGCCAGACGCCAAGGATTGTGGCGTTTGGTCCTGGAGTCCGAGTGGGACTCTTGCCTTTCGGGAAAAACCGACTTTGAGGAGGCTTTTGCTCCAAGTTTCGACCCCGGAGCTCAACATATAAATAGAGGGGCAGGGCTAGCACCAAAGACACAACAATTGATCCCTTGGATCTCTTAGCCGTGTGCGGTGCCCCCCTCCACCATAGTCCACCTCGATAATATCGTAGCGGTGCTTAGGCGAAGCCCTGCGACGGTAGAACATCAAGATCGTCACCACGCCGTCGTGCTGACGGAACTCTCCCTCGACACTCGGCTGGATCGGAGTTCGAGGGACGTCATCGAGCTGAACGTGTGCTAGAACTCGGAGGTGCCGTAGTTTCGGTGCTTGATCGGTCGGGCCGTGAAGACGTACGACTACATCAACCGCGTTGTGCTAACGCTTCCGCTTACGGTCTACAAGGGTATGTAGACAACACTCTCCCCTCTCGTTGCTATACATCACCATGATCTTGCGTGTGCGTAGGAAATTTTTAAATTACTACGAAACCCAACAAACATATACCACTAGTAACTTCCACAATTCAAGCATCATTTGACAAAAAAAAGTGTTAATATTTAAATTCAAATAAACCTTGTTATAAAATTCTTGTCAATTAATAGAAAACTCATGGTACTTGGTTAGACAATGTTATGTTTTGTCCATATAGATAAGTAGACCGAAGCATCTCAATTTGTTTTCCACAATAATATGGGCAGACAAGAGATCATATTTACTTGAGTTTATAAGTACCGCACATCATGATAATTAAAGAGTGAAATGGATGATACACTAATTTTCTTCCCCGACAAGTACTAGAAAAAAATAAGTTATGTGCTAAATGTTTGTAAGATTTTTTCTTAAATGGACAAGCATTAGTGCTTCCTTGGATAATGACAAATTATATGCTAGAAAGAATTGCCCTAAAAATTTCTACCAAAGCAATATATTGCAGCTCTTGCCTTTCTATATATAGGAGCAAAACAAAGAATGTTCTATTCAAATTTACAAGCATATAAAGCTATGGAATGTTAGAGCAACAAACGGTGTTTTCTCAAATATTTTGTCATTGAAACATTATCATTAGCTCAACTAGGATGCAGTTTTTTTATTAGAGTGTATTCCAAAATAAATGTGAGAAAAATATTTGTGATAATATATCGAGTTACACTATCACAATTTTCGTATTTAAGCAGTCTTGTGTCTAAGAAGACAATGACCGCTAGGAAAGGGAGTGTGTCACAAAGAGTGTCAGGACCGCCAGGAGTACGAGTTAGCTTCATTAATAGTCTCTCCACATAAAAATATATTCGTTAATAGTCTTGGAATGATACTAAGGGAGAGATTCCATACTTAAGTTTGATTGACAACAGCCTAAAGCCAGCTGCGGGGTATTACCTTCAAATGATGAACCAGTTGGGTGACATCAATGGTGTTAGGGTTTTGGGTACATGCATGATGCTTTTTAGCAGGAAGCCGAGGGGGGAGTATGACCTATGATGATATTAATCCAAAAGTATTAGGTTTTCACCACCAACAACTTTCAATTTTCAAACAGAATTCGATGGAAGTCGAGTTAACTTTTCAAATTCACAGAAAGTTTGCCAGAAATAAGAGCCTGCATGGTACTTTTTCTTGGACAAACTTATTTCCATGTTGGTAAATAGGTTGAAAGCATCTCAAATTTTAACCTGGAATAACTTGTGCAGATTCTAGCTAGATCATATTTACTTGGGTCCACAAAGCTGATCCATCGTGAGATTAGCAAAATGGCTCATAGATATTTTGCTTCCCAACAATTAGAACACAAAAAAGTCTTTTCTTTTCTAGCGAGGAAGTAAACAGAAAAATGATGACTAATATGCAAATAATGCAATAAAAACATGAATGAGATTTGTATATCTCAACAGGAAATGAGCATCACTGCCTAATGAAATTAATAAAATGAGGGTTTAAAAAAATTCTAGAGCTATTGCTTTTGTACAAATTGACAAGCACATGGTCGTACAAGATTAGTGTAATATTTTCTCGACTGTTTCGATGAGAAAAACATATTATTTTCCTAATTGTGGAACAATGCATTTTTAGAAATACTAAATAATTTATCAAAAGTGATGTAAAAGTTGGATGCCTTTGATGTTGCGGTAGTCAAGGTTTGGGGCATATCCCTAAATTTTTATGAAGGGAGCAGGGAGTATGACCTATATTACGATGGTCACCTAACAATACGAGAACATATACCACTTATAACTTCCACAATTCAAGCATCATTTGACAGAAAAAGTGTTAATTTTTAAATTCGAATATATAAAATTCTAGCCAATTAGTAGAAAACTCATGGTACTTGGTTAGACAATGTTATGTTTTGTCCATATAGATAAGTAGACCGAAGCATCTCAATTTGTTTTCCACAATAAGATGAGCAGAAAGAGATCATATTTACTTGAGTTTGTAAGTACTGCACATCATGATAATAAAGAGTGAAATGGATGATACACTAATTTTCTTCCCCGACAAGTACTAGAAAAAAACAAGTAATGTGCTAAATGTTTGTAAGATTTTTTTCTTAAATGGACAAGCATTAGTGCTTCCTTGGATAATGACAAATTATGTGCTAGAAAGAATTGCCCTAAAAATTTCTACAAAAGCAATATACTGTAGCTCTTGCCTTTCTATATATAGGAGCAAAACAAAGAATGTTCTATTCAAATTTACAAGCATATAAAGCTATGGAATGTTAGAGCAACAAACGGTGTTTTCTCGAATATTTTGACATTGAAACATTATCATTAGTTCAACTAGGATGCAATTTTTTATTAGAGTGTATTCCAAAATAAAGGTGAGAAAATTATTTGTGATAATATATCGAATTACAGTATCACAATTTTCATATTTAAGCAGTCTTGTGGCTAAGAAGACAATGACCGCTAGGAAAGAGAGTGTGTCACAAAGAGTGCCAGGACCGCCGAGAGTACGAGTTAGCTTCGTTAATAGTCTCTCCACATACAAATATATTCGTTAATAGTCTTGGAATGATACTAAGGAAGAGATTCCATACTTAAGTTTGATTGAAAGCAGCCTAAAGCCAAGTGCAGGATATTCCCTGAAAATGTTGAACAAGTTGGGTGACATTGACGGTGTGATGGTTAAGGTTTTGGGTACCTGCATAATTGTTTTTAACTGGGAAGAGGAGAGGGCAGTATGACCTGTGATGATAGTAATCACACCACCAACTTTTTTCAAATTTCAATTATAATTCGATAGAAGTCGAGTTAACTTTTCGAATTCACAAGAAGTTTGCCAGAAATAAGATCACATTACTAGAACCCGCATGGTACTTGCTTGGACAAACTTATTTCCATGTTGGTAAATTGGTTGAAAGCATCTCGGATTTTATCTAGAATGACGTGGGCAGATGCTAGCTAGATCAAATTGCCAAGACCAAGCCCCATGTGGTGTGATAACATGCCAAACGGCTCCTTTTTTTATTAAATAATAAGACTATATTAGTTTTGGAATAAAATAAAAGTAGTATGCTTATTTTTCCTAAAAAAACAGCTAAACCCACTCGTTTTGGGCTTTTGGCTTATGGGTCGAGCTTCTGGCTGAAAAGTGAGGCCAAGTTTGGTTCTTGAGCTTTCGGGTTGAGCTGATATTTCCCTATTTTTAGTCGGATATCCCTAACGAATATGGGCCTGAGTTGTATCTTTTTGTCAATTTGAGATTGCTTTTACCATACTGTCGTGGTAATATGGGCCTGAGTTGTTAATCAAGTTAAATACCATGTCATTGTGGCATGTGTTTGGTGTGCCAGTTTGGAGAAAATAATGAAATATTACCACCATCCCAAAATAGTTGTCTTAAATTTGTCTAACTACGGATATATACCTAACACTAAAACATGTCTAGAACACCCGTATCTACACAAATCTAAGACAACTGATTCTCGATGGGCGGAGCGTCACGCAGCTAAAATGCAAAAAGTAGCAATATTTTCTAATGGAGCCACAGGTAAAAATTGAAAGGAGAATGCAGGTGCCCTTTGAATCATTCATTATCGTCTTCGACCCCATCTTAAATCCGTAACAGCTAATTAATATAAGGAAGTATCATTGCATTCCACTGACAGTACAACAATATCAATGCATCGTCCATAATCAAATTAACAAGAATGGATGGGCCAATCAATCAGAGATGCATGAGGGGCACATAGTTCTTGAAGATGTGGTCGACGATGATCTCATACGCCCTCTGCGTGGGGTGGTAGCTGTCGAAGAAGACGTGCTTGTCCACGTCGTCGCACACCCCCATGTACCTGGTGTCGCAGAGCATGGTGACCTCGATGAGCCCGGAGCCGCAGCAGCCGTGCGTGAGCTCCGTGAACCCCCACCGGTCGCCGTGCACGGCCAGCTCCTCGATGATGTCGTAGATGTCGAAGTAGACGACGAGGGTGTGGAACGTGGGGTCGGCGTTGAGCCGGTCGATGAGCTGCTGCAGCGCCTTGTTGTACATGAGCGCGGCGTAGTTCCGGCGGGCCTCGCAGCGGCGCCGCGGCCCGCCGCCGATGGTTCGCTGCGAGGGGACGCACCCGATGGGCGGCATCCCCGTGAAGCCCATCTTCCGGGCGCCCCGCGCGCTGGTGTTGCGGAGGAATGCCTCGGCGCCGACGAGGAGGAGGTCCACGTAGGCCGGGATGTCGTAGTCGCCGGCGCGGTAGGGCGTCATGAAGTAGGTGTTGGCGAAGTCGTCGGTCCCGGTGACGACGAAGAAGAAGGCGCCGGCGATGATGCGGCGCGTCTCAGCCTCCCCCACGATGCCCACCAGCCTGCGCCGGTACTCGTCGAAGAACTCCAGCTCCTGGTCCATGGTGTACACGTTCACGATCTGCGGGGTCAGCGGGTCGAACCCGGTGGCACCCGACGCGAAGCTGACGCCGGTGAGCAGGTCCTCCGGCGTGTGCTCCACGTTCAGCCATGGGCCAAGAAGTGGCTTCAAGTTAAGCCTCCGAGCTGAAATGTATTATACAGAAAACATACTAGTTAAGTAAATAATCATCATTAAAAAATGTGAAGTAGTTAATGGATCATTTGTAAGTCAAGTTGTGAACTGCTCCAAAGCAAGGTTTTGGTTACGGAGCAAAAAAAAAAAATCGGTTACCGGCGGTAACAGCATTTCCCAATACCCCATGAGAAATAGCCTTCCGAGGAAAAAAAATCATTTTTTTGAAATTAAATGAATTTTATGTGAATTCAAAAAAGTACTTCTGTAACAACCCGGTATTTTTCGGTTACCAGGGTAACTGAAAATCTCGGTGCCACACGAGAAAATTTTTTCCCATCCGGGAGCCAAAACCTTGCTCCAAAGTGAAACAGTTGAGTGGTTGGGTCATAAAGATGAAGAACAAAGGTACAAATTCATGGAGTATGCAACCCTGATTGGACTGGGGTCCTGCAGATCTAGACAGGAAGCATATATCCTCTCTACTGCACTGGTCATGCTTAATTACTCTCTCTCTCTCTCTCTCTCTCTCTCTCTCTCTCTCTCTCTCTCTCTCTCTCTCCTCAAGTGGCACAAGGCCACAGTTTTTTTTTATTGATGTTTCAGTCTTTCTTTATTGAACAATTGCTATTGTATCATGCTTAAATACACACGCTCTGTCTTTTTACTTACTCTTAACAGAAAAGAGTGCATCATTTTATATTGAAGTTATAGTCTTTTTTGTTTATACATATAGCGATTTAGCCACGTCATGTGAAGTTTCAGTCACTTGTGAAATTCCAGTTCATTTTTTGCTACTTGTTGTTTATTTCTTTTAGTTTGGTATTTATGCAATTGCACTTTGTTTTAAATATAACTGCAATTTCACTTTTTTGCAGTTTGTTTTGTTTTTATTTGTATTTTTCAGTCACTTTGTTGTAAGTAGTTGGGTCATAAAGATGAAGACCAAAGGGTACAAATCCATGGAGTATGCAGCACTGATTGGAGGTGGACGGACTGGTCCTGCACAGACAGGAAGAATATATCCTCTCCAGTGAACTGCTCATGCTTAATTACACACACTCTCAACTACAGTGCCTTTTCTAAAAAAAGTTTCGGTCATTTTTCTAGAAGAGTGATTCAGTCACTTTTTGTGAAGTTTTGGCCGGTTTTTTGAGAAATTCTGGTTACTTTTTGTTAACTGTAATTTGTTTATTTCTATTAGTTTTGTATGCACTTTTATTTGTGGAATTGCATTTTCTATATGATTACAATGTAACCTCTTGATATTTTTCGGATGTAAAATGGTGAACGAAAGTCTCGAATTTTCAGTCATATGTGCACTCACAAAAAACATGAATTTGCAACGCTTATGGTAAGAAATAGGACATTTTACCGAGCAAATCATTTGGAGACACTGATCATAAGGTGGATATTTCTTTTTGTCCAAAGCCGAAGCCTGATTAATGTATCATACTCTTTTTGACATCCGCCCATCTCTGTTTTCTGCAATGAGGTGTGGTTAGAGTGGCAACCTAATGGCCGAGGCTCGTGCTACCTTCATTTTGCTCGATTAGAGTAAACGATATCTCGAAAGCTGAGATATCCCTTCTGTTGTTTCCATGTGCTCTTTTTCCTCTTATGCCTCTGGTTTCTCTTCTCATTTTTACAAAGTTAGATGTAATTATCCTAAACTTTGGCGGAGAAGTGTAATACCCTGTGGTTTATTTTTTTGCGGGGAAGAGTGTAATACCCTTCTCATTAGTATCTCTGGTCGATGGGCCACTTGAGAATGTCGACAGAAGGATCAGAAAGGAGGCAAGAGGAGATGTGTGTACTCCCAGAACTTTGGCGGAGCTTCAAAATAAGTGTCGCTGATTTAGTACAAAATTTGTACTAATTTAGTTATAAATTTGCGACATTTATTTTAGGACAGAGGGAGTATTTTTTTTTGAAAGGACGCAGGAGAACTGCGCTTTTCATTAAGAGGAACGGCGAAAGAAACGCCAACTGTACAGCAATGAGGAGGGAGTATATATTTGGAAATCAGAAGTATGTCTGAATTTCTCTTGATAAAGACTTTCATAGTGCATAGAGATTAGTTCCTTATTTAATTTATACACATGCCTTTTCAATGGAAGGAATTACTACTGTAACATGATCTTTTGTTTTTGGTTGTGTTGGCCGTGTGCTATGCAGAGGCCAGGCTTTCGTTCGATGCAGTTGTATCACCTCGATATATAATTATTAAAGAAAATAGAAAGAATGGTCAAGGACTCAAGGTTATATAACGAACCGTGTCACCATCTAAAACTATCACCTTTCTTTGCATGCAGGAAGTGACGTACGCACGCATGCATGCATGCTACTGATGTGTACTCGAGCTAATTAAGCGAGATACGTACCGATGAGGTCGGGTGGCAGGAGCGCGTTGGAGAAGCGTCCGGTGGCGACGTGGCCGGCGAAGTCCTTGCCGTAGGGCGCGTGGTTGGCCTTCATCCTCGTCGCCGGCAGGTTGTTGTTGTTGCCGGGGTCCACGATCGAGTCCCCGAACACGATCAGCGCCGTCACCAGCGGCTTCTTATTACTACTCCCCTGCTGCTGCGTCACCTGCACCGTCATAGTCTGGTTCAGGTCCCTCCCGCACACTGTCGCCGGAGCTCCCGCCATTGCCACCACCATCGCCACCGCCACTAGCAGCCGCCACCGGCTGGTGATCATCATCTTGATCCACATGGATCGTGTAGTGCTAGCTCCTGTTGTGTGAGTAGCTGGCCTCAACGCAGGGCGGCCACAGCTCGATCTGATCTATTTATACACGTCGTCCTGTCCATGGGTATACACGGATCGTGGAGAGCTGAGCAAGATAATGGAGAGAATGTACGCGCGCACAGTGCCGGCCGTCCCCGGGAACTATTCTTGCATGTTGGGTTCCATGACTTTACAACCTAGCAGCAATGGCGCATGCCATGCATGCCTGGTGTGCAAGATGGATTAATCGAAGATCAACGCATTTTATGAGTATTTATTATGGTGAGCACTGTTGCGTGCATGCATGGGGGCGGCAAAAAGGGCACGTATCAATATATGCATTGATCGACAGCAAGCTGAACAGGTTGCATGTTCTTCCTGACGGACAGACAGATCGAATAATCTCATCATCTCTTCACCAACTTTTGTGGGCATTGATTACTGACTCATTATGTATGTATGTATATATGTACGTGTCATTGATAAAGTAGAGTACGTTGACAACCATGATATACCACCTTCTTTAGATGGATCGAGAACGAGAACCATGTGCATGTGAAGGTGCACTGTTTTCAGATCATATAGCTGGAGGCAGAGCAGATGGATGCCCGTGCTGCACTGCTAATTCTACCGTGTCAACAATCAATTGGAATTTAGATGGGTGGGCCACTGCATGCTTATGCATGTACTCATGATAGAGTAATTCGTTAAGTTATTATCTGTTCCGCACTAGCTATTTGGAAGTTGCCTGAATTTGCAATTGGTGTAATTCGATTTTGTGGCAGAAGGAAGAAGGAGGCGAGTCGCGATACCGAGGTTGACACGGGGACAGGGGCGCCACGGCGAGGCAGAGGGGACGCCGAGCCAAGAGTAGCCAGAGGAGAGGCCAGGAAGAAGTTTCTCATGTTTGGGTGGGGAGTGGGGACTACTGTTGGAAGATGAAGATGAAGGGGAGTTGTTGGATGGAAATCCAATGGCTGAAAATCAAATGACTATCTTTTTCTCATACAACCGTGCAATAGTCACTCCCCTATCAGTTCAAGCTAGTCGATTTACATGGTGCAAAAAAAAAAATCACTGAGAGACATTCGTTGTTGCATGCTTAATGGAAGGTAGCTCATGCGCATTCATTCATTGGCTACACATATGTAGTGTGCCCCAACGGCCCAACGCACTCCTTAATGTCGCGCCATTAATATACTCTGATACGCATGGCAGGGCAGGTGCAACCACCACTCAGAATGTAACGTGTACCCCGAAGAATATATGTCGAGACATGTCCTTGCTCGATCCAGATCAAAAGGAAACGAGAAGATTGCCTCTTCAAAGACGTTAGCGTGCATGCAAAGGCAATGGCATGGTGATGACATTATGAACCCATATCACCATTAGTCCTCCTTGTAAGGCAGCCAAAACTCCGTTTTCCGTCTTAGAGCAATTCTAGTAGAATCGTCATATTGACAGCCTGCATCATATTATGAAGGCTAGTAAGGTGGCACACAACTACAGAAACGTCATAAATAGAGCCTATAAAAAGTTTCTTCATGTGGGATCCTTTTTTGATTGGCTAACAAGACATCTTTCTTCCCATCTCATTAGAATCTCATCAGACAACAATGAAAGAACTTTTGAACGTGATATCAACAAGGATATCTAGTAATATTTCAACAAGGATTCTACTACGATTTAAACAAGAATTTCTCATACGGTTTCAACTAGGATTTCCACTATGATTTGAACTGGCGGACTACAACTAATTTGACCTCTTCCTTTGGTTGGAAGTGACTTCGCGGCTGCTTCCACTTTCGGGGTCACGCAGTTGACGAATGTTTGTGCCTCCTTGATGTGGGAGAAGGCCACAACTTTGTAGCCTTCGTTAGTGCGACGCCCATTTCAACCAAGGCGGCCGTCATCACGAGGGCAAGGTAGCCCTATGCCCTCTTCCCAAACTCTTTCTTAGGGCGATCCTCTTCGATTTCACCAGGGAAAGGTACACGAGGACGGCTCGGCCACCGCGACAAGGCCGATGGGGGGGTGAGTGTGGTGGTGGCGGGAAAAGGTGAAGATAGGTGATAAGTGTGAGACTTATATGTGTAGAGACCGGATGTTGGTTCATATTATGACATTGGTTAGCAATGGGAAACTAGTGCATGAGGTTTTGCCTAACTATACAGGGTCAGGTCCCCAAAGCAGGGCACCACCGATCCAGCTGTATATATCCAGTCGATGGATGGAGGAAACATGGCCAGCTTCGGTCTGGTTTCCATGCGTGATAGTGTGATTATTTAGAGCGATAACGGATGTACTCCCTCCGTTTTTATTTAGTTCGCATATTAGCTTTGGTCAAAGTCAAGCTTTGCAAACTTTGACCAAGTTTATAAACAAAAATATTAAGATATACAATAACAAATCAACAACATTAGATTCATTATTGAATGTACTTTCACATCGTATAGATTTATTATGATAAGTGTCTGTATTGCTTTCTATAAACTTGGTTAAACTTTATGAAGTTTGACTTCAATCAACTCTAATATGCAGAGTAAATAAAAACGGAGGGAGTACTATAGTATAATTCTATCAAGTAAATTAATGTTCCTGAACTAGACGGAAGCGCTAAACTGTTCTGAACTGAATCCTATCTGTACATGTTTCTGAACTGGACTGCATTTGTTTCTGAACCTTTTTTTTTGTTTTTGAGATTGAGACAAATTTGTTTCTGAACTGAATCTGCGCATGTTCCTTCTCACTCCCGAACTGGGCCTTATTTGGGCCGAGGCATCACGCGGGCTGACTGCGGTGACGTTGAGACTCTAGCGCTTCGCCTGAGCAAGTTAGATATCCACGCCGCCAAATCAATCCCCTTGCCCGACCTAAACCTCATCGGCGCCGCGCCCCAACTGCATCGCCGCTCAGGGTGGACGCGGTCCGGTCCGGTCCGGGCTTTGACCGAGCCAGCCTTTGGACCGGCCGCGGCCGGTCCGGTCCGGACCGGACCGAGGTGGCCAGCGAGCCATTTTTCCAGGACCGGACCGAGAGGAGCAAAGCTCGGTCAGCCCGACTGGACCGAACGGGACCGATGGCTGGGACTCTGTTTAACAGCCTGGGAGTGCTTTGTTGGCCACTAGTATGTCATAACTACATTTGGATAGCATTTTATTTGTATTTTGGACATCAAAACAAATGATTTTGAGAGGAACAATATCACAAAAATCACATGCACAAACATTGATCACCACAGTTTTTAGATAAGTTTCTTCACATAATTTTGGACCGAAACAGCAGGAATATCACATCCACAACTAATTGGACAGCAAGCACATGACTAAATTTGGACAGCATATAGTTCAAATTGGAAAGCATATCTACAAAAAACAGCATTCTCCTTACCAGCACCCTTTCCCTATAGTTCTCCAAAGGCCCACTCTATGTAACCCATCTTGTACCTAGGATCAAAGATGATAGCATTGGAGTGAATTAGAAAGCATATCTACAAAAAACAGCATTCTCCTTACCAGCACCCTTTCCCTTCTCATTCCCCTTCTCCTTCACCATTATCTACAAAAAACAGCACATAATATCTGCAGTCAGTACATTAATCAAGCGCAAATAATTCATCTTCTTCTTTTTGTAGCATAGAAAATCATCTAGTGCTAGTTCAAATAAACATAATTATCTCCTGACCATTATCTACAAAAAAAACAGCACATCAAACAGGTACAAATCATGGACGTGGAGTCTGAAATTTATATTGATTAAAATTATTTTCAGCTTGTTAGATACTCCTGGAGTACATAATTATTTTCTGCTTGTTACATACTCCTGGAATACATAATTCTGCTTGTATTTAGGGAGTTCACATTTAGTCTGAATTTTATATGGGTACATAATTCTACTTGTATTTAGAGAGTTCACTCACAAAATTTCATACATGGCCTACTTGATTTAATATTTTGGGTATCCTTTACAGGTAGAGACATCAGACATCTGATATGTGGATTCAGAAAAAGAGAGATCCCAACTTTGCAGTGCCCCCCGTATTACTATCAGGTCAAGCAACACCTAGTGCCCATATGCTACAGCTCAATCCTCTCATGCACAATTCACAGGCATGTACCATCCGCAGCAGCTTCCCTCAATCGTAAGCCCACATCCCATGGTACAAGTTACAGAAAGATTACCTCTTCCTCTTCGTGGCGCTCGGTGAGGAACCAGGGAAGGACGGACCGACGGCGTGCTGGCCTTGCTGCCTCCCCACGGCGTGCTGGCCCTGCTTCCTCCCCACGGCGTGCTGGCCTTGCTGCCTCCCCACGGCGTGCTGGCCTTGCTGCCTCCCCACGGCGTGCTGGCCCTGCTTCCTCCCCGATGTACACGTGCTCCTCCAGCTCGGACTCGGACGAGATGGCGCCGTCGGTGAAGGGAGAGGCCGCGGGCAACGGCGCCGTCGGTGAAGGGAGAGGCCGCGGGCAACGACGCCGTCGGTGAAGGGAGAGGCCGCGGGCAACGGCGCCGTCGCCTTAGGGTTAGGGTTAGGGATCGAACAGAGGAGGAGGCGCTGCCGAATCGAGCGAGGAGGGGAATGGAACGAGGGGAGGGGGGTTGCTCGGCTCGGGGGCTTGGGGCCTCGATGTGTTACACAGTTGATGGGCTTTGGGCCATCGGTCCGCTCGGTCGGCCCGGTTAAAGACCGGACCGGACCGAATTTTTTTCGGTCTCTTTTGCTGGGCTCGGACCGGCTTATTTTCCTATCGGGCCTGGACCGTACGGGCCGGTCCTAAACGGGCCACGAGCGGGCCGCAAAGCCCGCTCGTGCCGTCCAGGCTGAATCGCCGCCTCCGCCTCCACCTCCTGGACCCAGCAGCACCCACCATCGCGCGCCGTACCGGTCCACCACCGCCACCCCCTGCCGCCTCCCCGACCTATCATTCCGGTTCTCACCACCGCGCGCGCCCTCCCATCAACATTTCGCCTCCCCCAAAAACCGG